ATAATAAAATAAAAATATGTTATGAAATATTATATGTATATGTTTGGAATAGATAAATTATTTCCAAAATTTTTTCAAATTTTCAGTCATAAATTCAATTCACTTTGCATTATTTGTCGAATAAGTCCTTGGCCTTTTTCTGTCATGTCGAGAACGATGTTACGCTTGACAGTATACTAATGATATTATTTTCTCTTGTTATGTAATATAAAGTGTGTATAAGGTGCAATGAGTCATAAATAAGGCGTAAGTTTCTTTTACACATTTTGTGTCACACTTGACTCACAGAGTTAAAGGAACTATCAGATAGTTCTTACTGTTATGAATTATTATTATTATTGTAAAATATCATTGAATCTGATATTCGAATTTTCTACTTTCAAATTAAAATATATTTTATATATATAGGTTTATTATAAATCATGAGTAATATCCTTTTTCGTTATTAAGAGTATAATTTATCAAGTTTTAAGTTTAATTTTATCATTAGAAAAAGTAATATAAAATTTCGATCCTGTCGATATGACGTAGTATTTTTTTAGACTGTAATCACAGTGGAATTTTTCAGGCGCCCAATTTGACTTGCAAAACAACTGATCGGGCTATATAAATAATAAGCGATTATACGAGCCCTTAACGTTAACTGTGCTATGCATTATATGATGTGTATTACTTGATTCGTGCTGAAAGTGGTACACAATTATCGCAACAACCGGCTATGTGATTTTCATGTATTGGTATAACATGCGCAAATAAATTTCAGGTTGATAAGTAGCCCATAATTTTCCTATGGTTTTTTGCAAAGTCGTGCGTTTAAACTTTAATTTATGCGTCGATGATAGGAACGACTGATAAAAAGACCATATATAAGAAAAAATATCCTCAATAATTAGACGATACACCGTTTTCGTTAACCTTAATAGCAGAGAGTATGTAATTTCCGATATTGACAGTCTGCTTTTATATGAGAAATACTACATTTACTTACGAATGTATAACGAGGCTGATGTAATAACTGTCATTAATATTTAAAAAGCAAATTAAAATAATTTATATATTGCTTTGACGTACAGTTTCGTATAAAGGTGTCTTCAGACGGTCAATGTATAGGGTCAGTACTCCTATTCTTGAAAAGTATTGCATACGTAAAACTGAAGAAATGCTATAGTATATGTTACGTACACTATAGTATTTCTCTAGTTTTTCGTATGCGATATTTTTTAAGAATAGAGCTCTAGACCTGTTCAATTTGAGCTTTGGAGCTAAAACACAAAGTCATCGATGCAAAAAAATTCAATGTGAGTAAGACTTTGGGGAAAGTCGGTGAAGTGTTAATCTAAGTGACGTTTATCAACACTTTATAATTCCTAAAATCTTACTCATATTGAATTTTTTTACGTCGATGGCTTTGCGTTTTGGCTCCGAAGCTCAAATTGGATAGGCCTGGTGACCAACTTTGCACACATTCGTTAAATATTGATTACATTCAATATGAATAATTATGTATGTCATGTATGTATGATATTTGCTAATAATGGTATACGTTGCCTGTTGATAGTTTCCGGGTTAATAGGTGGAGGTGGCTCAATGAAATGAATTAGTAAGAAAAAATTTTTTTTTGTAATTACAACATCATTGTCTCTGAGGATGGCTAAAAAATGAGCTGAAACATGTAAGCGGATTAATTATTAATAAAGTTGTTTTGTTTGATTTGTACAAGAATTACTGTGCTTGATTTCTATTGCCCTGTTGTATCCAATCATTTTGCAGAAATATTATATTTTCATAATTAAATGGTCAAAATATACAATATATATGTAATAAATGTTGTAAATTAAGAAGTCATAAATAATAATTACTTAAATAAAATTATTTATTTTTTTTTAAATTGATCCAATCATCAATGATTGGATGTACGTGCATGCGTATGTATATACATACTGTATTAAATATTTGTGAAAAATGTAGCTATAAAATTTTGAAAATACAACAGATCTACGATTCACTATGTATATAAAAGCATTCTCTAATCAAAAAGATTTCAATTATTCAGCCAAAGATTGAAGAGCATTATTGAAAGTTGAACGAATGCGTTGAATGCATGTCATCTTGATTGGTAAAAACACAACGTAATATTGTTAACGTCAGTAGCAGCAGCAGCTGTACAACAAGTGCAATAAATTGCATGTTAAATTGAAGTTCACGAGATGATGTTCAATCCTAATTAATCGATCGACATAGATCAACTTGTCGCAAGCGATGACATTATTACTGTATGGTTGTAATGAATGACTGACGATATAAGGAGATTGTTTTTCTCTTGTGTTTCAGTGGGCATTTCCGTACTGATGTTCTTCCTATTCGGCAAACCTTATAAACGCGGTTTCTTTTGCAACGATGAGTCACTTTATCATCCGTATCACGAGTCTACGGTTACGAGCACGATGTTGTACGTCATCGGTCTTTTACTTCCTATATGTACGGTGAGTCATCTTGCGTTTGCAATTACGATTATGATATATTTTGATTACATGATATAAGACTCGTGAAGAATCACTTGACAATTTATCATTACCTATAGTGAGAATCTTATCTCTCTCACGACGATTCTTATTCGCTTGTATGAAGTGTAAAAATTCACATTTGAAATGTAACCATCGTTAAGTTAATTTACGTTAAATATTTTCCATTACAGAGGGAATATCACTTAATTTTTATCGACATTCTCTTTTTCTCAGACACTTCTGCTTTAAAAAAATTACATATATTCAGGGTTGGGTAAGTTAACTTTTTTTTTTACTAAGTTAAGTTACAGTTAACAATCTTGAAAATTTAAGATACAAGTTAATTTATAATGAAATTAATTGAATTAAAAGTTAAGTTAAAAAAAAGTAATTGAAAAGTTAAAAGTTAAATTTATTTATTTTTTTATTTTTTATTTTATGATTCCAGGGTTTCAGTCTTACAAATAATGGAAATGACAAATATATATTTTATTTAGAAAATACTCTACATTCTATTTACATGTTTTGTTTATCACATATATATTGTTTACATAGACTGTTATATATACTATTTGAATATTTTATTCACATATACTTATTAAATTTAAGTAATAAAGCCATTTCGAAATTTTTATCGGACATCTTTTTTCGCAAGTTATCGAAAATGAGTCCTCCTGCATTGAACAGCCAATCAATGTGAACCCACGTGAGCTGAAGATGGTATTGATGTGTTACACTTTAATAAGGAATAATAGAGATTTCAACCTATCAGAAACTAGATACACTAAAATACACGGTTTCTAACCAATTGAAATCTGAGGATCAATTGTGTAATTTGAAATGAGAAAATTACAAAAATGAATAAATTCACTAGAATATTTATAATTTCATTGGTCGATACCTATTAAATTTGCTTACTTTTACAATTTTCGCTTTATATTAAGTTACCACTATTGCCGCGTGTTATGTCTGAGACTTCAAAAAAATTAAATAAAAATTAATAGTTACAGATAAAATATAACTAAATAAAATTAAGAGTAACTAAATTGTAACTAAGTTAAGTTAAAATTAATTAACTTTTTAACTTTTTAACTTAACACTACCCAACCCTGCATATGTTTATAGATTAGAAATTATATTACATTCGTACATATAATGATCAATAGCAGATGCGACCACGAGCGATTGAAAGAGTCGCGTGTCACTTTTGAAATTCTTTTTTACCCTTTTAAAAAGAAGGATGACAGAAGTGGTGTTTAAGAATACGAGGTGATTCGCGTCTCGCTGCCTGCACAGAGTAGACTTGAGGGAAGTAAGTGCACTCGTTTTCGATGCTCGTGGGCATTTTACGACATCAATTTACGGTATACGAAGGTGATGACAACTCGCAACAGTTGCAACACATGTACTAAAAATTTACTAAAAATTTTTGCTGAGTTCCCACAGGATATAAAAGGAAGAGAGCGAAAGAGAATCGAAAACTATTTTTTACATGTGCCTATTTTTTTATTTGCTTTCTCAAACACACACATTTTATCGCATAGGAACGGAGCAAAATCAAATTAATTGAATGCAATGAAATGTGTTTACGATTTTTTCTTTTTCCGCGATATATCACCACATGACCTTGTTTGTGAGAGTGATCGGCACGTTTCCATGAATAGTTTGTGACTATTTACAAATTTCGCATATTTTCTCTTACTCAAACGTTTAGAAATCTATTCAATTTTAACGAATACATTGAATTTCTTCTCTATAAATTTCTGATCTAATATTGACATCTATTTCAAAATTAACTTTTAACATGTTCAAAGAATACGAGTAAAAAGTGCAGCTCCTTCTTATAGATTCTCTCTTTAATTTTGTTATTTTTAAATTTGATGTTATATACATAACACAAACTTAACTTTTTTCATAATTCTAAAATTTTCCTCATAAATTTATATACATTATATATATTAGGTGTAGTAAAAAGAAATCCATTATTT